TTGCTCTGGTGTCCAGGTCTTTCTGCCTGGTGTGTTGAGGACATCATACATGATCTGAAGTGTGCAGAAAGAGATTGTCATTTTGGTCACTTGTGTAAAACATGTGAACCAATGGACTGTGGGAATATTTTCAAACTGCTTATTATTTTATTAATATTGTAAGTATTTTATGAAATGGCAATAACTTCAACAGGAGATTTTAAAATATTCCTCTACTTCATCTTGTGTACCCAGTGTTTAAGGATTTTTCTGTGAGGGAAGGAAGAGTTGAAGTTCCTGCTCTGGAAGAGACAGAGGAAGGATTTGAACTCCCACATGCTAGTTGAAGACCAACTTCTGGTTTAGTAGGCTTGAAAACTAAGCTGCACTTTTGTCATTTCTTTTGCAGAACTGGTGTATCTTTCAAGAAATACTAGTTTCAGTTGCTTCAATTTCAAGAAGAAAAGCAGCCTCCCATCTTCATTTATAATGGATAATGCCTTCTTTTCTGTGTTTTTAAGGTCTACTTGTAGAAATTCCCTAGGCATTCTTGGCAAAATAATTTCTAAATATTAATTGCTAGAACTTCACTCAACTGATAAGATCTTCTGACTTACATAATCTTCAACATAAATGCTTATTGCAGGCCCATGAAAGTTCGGGTTCAGAAAATTTATGCACATGTGAGAATTTGTGATAGTGTATGGTACTACTGTAGCTCATGATGGCCTGGCTATCTTGTCTTGATATTTGCTTAGTGAGAGTAGAGAAGTTATGGGGTTTGGGGTTTCTTTCATTCAAGTTTTGTTTGAGGAATTACTATAATTGGCCTCTTGTGATTCCTGAAAGTGGAAGAAATACTAACTTGCTGTTTCATCTCTGCTTTCCAGATTTCTCCTTTCTCTTAACACTATTTCTCTTAACATTCTCTTAACAGCCCCTTTCTGGGCTGTGAGCACACATTGCTGGTTCATGTTGATGAGAAGCTCAACATGACCCAGCAATGTGTGCTTGCAGCCCAGAAAGTCAACCACATCCTGGGCTGCATCAAAAGAAGCATGACAAGCAGGTCGAGGGAGGTGATTCTGCCCCTCTGCTCTGCTCTCGTGAGACCCCACCTGGAGTACTGCATCCAGCTTTGGAGTCCTCAGCACAAGAAGGACATGGAACTGTTGGGGCGAGTCCAGAGGAGGGCCACGAAGATGATCAGAGGGCTGGAGCACCTCTTCTATGAATACAAGCTGAGAGTTTTGGTTCAGCCTGGAGAAGAGAAGGCTCCGGGGAAA